CCTAGGACGTGCTTCTAGAGGACTGGTATCCTGACAGCTTAATTGTAAAGAATCTTGCAGGACATCAGGCAGAAAATTCTGCAGACGGTGCAAAAGTAAGCTACGTTTCGCATTGAGGACAGGCATGAGCTGGGTCTACATCGCTGGAGGCGAAGGTGTTTGGGGCGACTGACGTCGTCCTGCTGGTGGGTTGAGTGCGTCTGGTCATTCCGGCGGTGGTAATGATTGTGATAGTGAAGATGATGGCTCTGGTGCTGCTGGTGATGGTGGTGGTAGTGCTGTTGGTGGTGGTGGTGTTGGTGGTGGTGGTGGTGGTGTTGGTGGTGGTGGTGGTGGTGGTGGTGGTGGTGGTGGTGGTGGTGGTGGTGGTGGTGGTGGTGGTGGTTCTCGTCGCTGCGTCCGACGGTGCGGTCGGGACAAACAGGAGGTGTCGTTGGATGATGATGGCGGGGCGGAAATTGATGACATACTGAATTTAGAGATGTCTAATAGGTCGATATAAGAGAATATCAGAGTTTCGGAAAGCATTTCAGCAGAGTAAGAGTTAATTTGCCATGCTGTAGGTTTTAGTGTGTTTTAATGATACAATTACTAGCAGTTGAGCGCCTTATTTTGCGCTTTTGGGTCGCGAGCCGCTCAGGTCATGGTTTTCAGACCGATTAGCTCCATTAACGACAGCTTGTGCACCCGATTGTCGTTCTTGGATGACATTGAAGAAGGCAGCTTGCGCAATTTGCTCTCTAGGGCTGCTTCGCGTGTCGTTATATGCTCGCCGGTTCATTTGGCCACCCTCTGCTGAAGCAGTTTTGTGCCGTTCTCAGCCATGAACTGGCAGCAACTTTCTTTCTCTTAGTCAATACTCTGACGGTATTTGTGAATCTCTGAGTGGCAGTCTTGACGGAGCACTCGCATCATTTGTCGACCGTGCCGACGTACTGCACGTCTCGCCAGCTTTGTGTTAACCGAAGGTCTGTATGAAGCACACTGCGGCAGCACTTTGTTGTCTTGACATCTGCGCAGAAATCGAAGCTGCGAATATTTAGACGAATCTCGAAGGGCAAAGGCATACAACCGTCCAACCGACCGGAGACTGCTGATAGAAGCAAACGGACGATTTCAGGAGGGAGTTTAGAAGAAAAGCAGGTGTTGGTCAGGCTGAGGCGGTGTTCTCCGCAGAAGGTACATTCCCCTTAGAATTTCTTTGTTGCCTTGTGAGAGCTGGTCATCGGGAGAGCGTGGCCGCTGATAATGGTGCAGAAGTTGTCTTCCAGAGGAGGCGGGCGGAGGCGCATCAGGCGACCATTGATGAACTGCGTCAGACAGGAAAGTCGTTTCACGATGTTGTTCCGGAGGACAACGGCAACGCCTGCGTCACTTTACTCTTCACTGGAGCGACCGCATTAGTAGAACGCAGAGCCGGTCTACAATTCCTTTAGTTGTCTTTGTTCAGGGAAGCGAATCTTGTTGAGCGCAGCGATGTCTATCTTGTAGCCCGCCACCGTCTAAATGTTAACGCATATTCGAGGCCACCAGAGTAAGAGGACTCACACCAGAAGGAGACGGAAGGCGGAATGGGGGAGGAAAGTGCGAAAAAGTACAGGAAGATAAAAGAGAGTGTGTGCTTGTGTTTTGTCTTGCATTTTTTGCTTCGACCGCATGTTTAGCAGTCTACTAGTCAGGGTCTGCGCGCAAAGGGTCGGGAACCCTATATACCCCCATTTCCTCTCGCGGGGCATTTCTCCACTTTCATTAAATAGGGCTGCCTAGGTATCCCAGACTGATACCGCTCTCGAGTAGCAAAGTGGCTAGCAGAGAAATTCAAACGCGCACAACATCAGCTAGCATCACACAGCAATCGAGATGCCTTTGAATTCATTAACGACATTAAAGACCTTAACCTCAGCGGCGTGCTGATGTTTTCGCTGGACTTCTCATCACATTTACAAACGCTCCCGTTACCGAGACAGTTAATTACATCTGTGAATTTCCATCAAACAATCAGCAGTGAATAGGAATTCCGACGAAGACACTCAAGGAACTCTAACTAAGATGCAAATTTAATGTGCAGTTCCTGTTTGACACCAAACTATATAAACAAATAAACGGCGTTGCTATGAGCACTCCTCGTGGACATCTCCTCGCCTATGTCTTCATGCGAAAATTGGAGAGATTCCAACTAAGCAATCAGATCGAAAACTTAAACATTACGGCCGCTATGTTGATGACGTCTTTACAATTGCCACAGCAGAAACCGACGCAGATGCCCTCTTAAACGCTGTAAGTCAGGCACATTCCTCTATCAGATTTGCGATGGAGATCGAAACGGCTGGTTCGTTTCCGTTCATAGATATTCCTCTAAGCAAGAGACCTGACGGGAGTGTCCAAAAAGCATCTACCGAAAAAAAAACCTGGTCTGGACAATACATAATCTGAGCTAGTTTTATAGCCCTACAACAAAAACGAAATCTAGTCCAAATTTTCGCGCAAAGAGCTAGAAGCATTTGCTCAACAGGCAGCTTCGAGGAGGAACTTAGAAAAATCCAGGACTTCCTTCGCGAAAACTGGTATCCGAACAGATTTATTGCAAATAATATGGCCGAACGACCAGTAAAACCCGCCACACCGACTGCCGAAAAGGAAATTGTGTTCCTTAAAGTCCCTTCTCAAGGGGACGCTGCGATTGGAGTCCTTAAGGGACGCCTTGATCAAGCTGTTTCGCGAACCTTTCAGCGGCAAGGGTTCAAGTATCCTTATCTACTAACCCTATTTTACGCGGAGAAGGTAAGGATACGTTGCCACCACAGACCACATCAATGTGCATCTTTTCTTTCACTTGCTCCTGTGAAGCAGGTTATATTGGTCGCACGAGTCGGCGTTTATCCAAGAGAATACGGGAACAACTCCCGGCATGGCTGGCAAAAGACGAAATTTGAAACATAAGCTGCGCCATTCTTGCGCATGCTGTCGATCTCGAACACAATGTAGACCGCAATAAAGCGTTTCGTGTGACCTATAAGGTCCCAGGCTTAATGAATTCCAGAGGCTGCAGCAACCTGTGTCAAGATTAACAAAAAACTCGTCTCCCCTTGCAGACACATTATCGCAGTTGTTTATTACAGTCTACTTGCTGCTCTGGCCTTAACTTTATTGTCGTAGGCGGAATCCAAAAGACGCCATCCATGCTTCTCACACTTACGTCAAATGTATTATGCGGTACAGGGAAGAACACCTAGTAATACGTTGGGACTGATTTTTTATCATGTGGATCTGTGGAATGAATCGCTTAGCAAATGCCGTCTCGGCAGTCAGCATGCTAATTGACATTTTTCGAATTTTTTATTTTATTGTAGGCCGGACGCGCAAAGTAAACCAGACAGAATTGAATTTACGAATGAGGAACTGGTCCCTAAGTTTATTTCCTTGAGGTGTTGTCTAAGCAGAAGCACACATCCTTAATCTCGCTGAGGTCAACCAACCCGACCTCGACTACTTAAGTTTTCGTAATTTTCGCAAATTCATTTGATCTGCGGTACCAATGACTGCAGACGTCTAAGTCCTGTCTTATATTTGCACGGTAATGTAGTGTCCTTACTCCCAGCGCTTGACCCAACACTATGCCTCTCGCAAATGTCTGCATGTGTGGTCCGTGCCTGTATGGCATTCGTCCACCGGCTTTCTAACTGACCAATCAGACTCAAAACCTTGCCCGGACTTGCCTGCCTTAAGACGCTTTGACGCATACCCTGACACAGACTAGGGACACCACTCACGAGACGCTGGGCGTTGCTCCATCAGACTGCTCTCCAAATCATTTTCTAGTTTTTTTGCACAGATTAGCAATCCTCCCAACTGGTCTCCATCTAGTCGTTCGATTCGGGGTCGGACCTGAACCTCCTGCAAATAATCTGCTCTTTTTACTTATGTTGTTAATTTTATCGAAACTCTTTTTGAAGCTTCACGGTGGATTTTTCTAACAAAAGTGTTTAGGCAACCTGCACTATTGTCAGAAGTGAATGATTTCGCACATTTCAGTAGGCTCCATGGTTGCTTTGCATGCCTTTTTAAAAAGACCGCTGTGACTTGCGGTGTCGGATGGGTGTGGTTGGTGTGAATTCGACGTTGAACGCAGGTTTTCGGGCCTCTACAGACAAACCGCAAATATTCCTTCACCCTCAATTTCAAGAGCATTGCGGACCTGTGCAGGATTTAAGCGATCGGCTTTAAGTAGGAGATCAGAGGATATGGAATATTGACATATTGTCTGATGAATGTACAAACCAATTCAATTGAAATGCCAAAAGCGAATAACCGGTCATCTGAAAAAACACAACTGATGTAATAAAAACATAAATTAGAACGGCGGAATTGATTGAAGTCAACTTGCAAAATTTTGCCGGCGTTGATATGACGTCAAAGACTGACAACGGGGAAAATTCAAATTACAATCAAGGCTCTAAACACGTCAAATAGAATGAGCAACGTGCAAGCTGTCAGTTTAATCCCATCTCGGTCATGCGCTCCGTTCCGTTTTTTATGCGTATAATGGAATCCATAAATTCTTTCCGAGTAAATCGAAGGCCTTCAAAAGATTTTAAAAATAATTACTAAAGCTGCCACCAGATTCCTACCAGTGTCGCTCATATTTCATATTTGTATCGACATATTGGATTATACCATTGGTAGTCATTGTAAAAATCATGAAGATGAGCTCGGGTTGGTTGACCTCAGCGAGATTAAGGATGTGTGCTTCTGCTTCGACAACACCTCAAGGAAATAAACTTAGGGACCAGTTCCTCATTCGTAAATTCAATTCTGTCTGGTTTACTTTGCGCGTCCGGCCTACAATAAATTTAGGAATTCGAAAAATCTCAAACAGCATGCTGACTGCCGAGACGGCATTTGCTAAGCGATTCATTCCACAGATCCACATGATAAAAAATCAGTCCCAACGTATTACTAGGTGTTCTTCCCTGTACCGCATAATACATTTGACGTAAGTGTGAGAAGCATAGATGGCGTCTTTTGGATTCCGCCTACGACAATAAAGTTAAGGCCAGAGCAGCAAGTAGACTGTAATAAACAACTGCGATAATGTGTCTGCAAGGGGAGACGAGTTTTTGTTAATCTTGACACAGGTTGCTGCAGCCTCTGGAATTTATTTAACCTGATAAAGTTGGCTGACTGTCAAAGCAGGATTTTCTAATCCACCCAGAATCTACCCGAGATATGCATCGATCAATTATTATTTGCGCGCTGGCGAGAGATCTGAATAATATATTTGACACGCATGTTGAATTATATGCTGCTGCTGCTGCTTTCCTTGGATTGGGATTTTCGAGGGCAAGCGCAAATTTTTTGCACATTCAAAGCACTTACATGGCTGGCTTTGGTGTGAAGTCAACTCTGAAATGCATAATATGCACGCAAATGCAGCTGCAGCATTCAGAAACCGCCAACTATCCCGATGTGTGTTTAATGTCCGTTCGGGGTATTCCAAAATATCTGTATAATTTTTGCTATCTTAGCCGATATTTCGGAAATCCTATTGACTGCGACAGGATGGCTTAGTTACCTTGCAGCGGATTTCTATATTAATTTTGTTTCCTCAATATACAGTCTTTTGAACAGACGTTTTTCGTCCGTCTCTAAATTAACCGCTTAGATAACGTGACGTTTTTCTTTTTATTTTCGATATAACTATTAACTCAAAGCATATCTCATAGAAAACATCCAAGATTATATTTATTTTTTACTCCTTTGTCAGGAAATCAGATCGTCTTTAAATTTTATACCTGAAGGAATCGTGCAATTCGGTTTTATGAAGGTTTCTATTTAGCAGACATCTAAGGGCAGTCGAACGTCCGTTCGTAAAACCCCATGTCACTACATTTACTAATTTTGCTTGTAAAGTTTAAAATATTGTTCAAATTCGCTGATAGATTACATGAACTGCACATGGTCTCCTCTCAGTACAGCAAAGAAATGTATTGTTATCCGTACACGAAAAATATACAACTTGCACTTCTGAAGTCATGATTGCGAGCGTAACTGCAGGTCGGATTTAAACTTATTCGAGACGTGGAAACGTTTTATGACTGAATTATTCTCTTCGATAAAGTATACTATAGAGCTAGGCGTAATTTCCTACGAAAGGAATAAAAGAATGAGCACATGTAGAGACGCAGGCGCTCTGTCTTCCGTGACCAACGCCGACCAAACCTCCTGATGGCTGTGGTGCGGGCAAAACGTACTCGACGTACAAAAATTTTTCACAGCCTATGCCCCCCTCCCTCGCCCACTTTACTCAATGACCACGACACGACGACCACGCCATAGCACGCCTCGTCATACGAGTGCGTGCGAACGATGATTGGCATGGGAACGATGGGTGTTAATAGTTTCTGAATCAAGTATAAGCTCTGTAACTTTGCATAATTTAAACTTCTATGTAACCGTTTTGGCCTGATGAAGAGTTACCGAAAACACCTGTTTGCCAAATTGAATTTCCATATATATTTTAATGTACAGAGGCACTCAAAATTAATAAGACAAATACATACTATATATATAACCTGAGGAATAAGTGGCGAGCTAATATTGCATTCGATAACTTCTCTTTAGGCCGTGCAGGTATATGGGAAATGGATAAAGTGATTGAAAAAATCGATAAAAGTTTGCTTTAAAATACAAGTCAAGCAATAGCGGAAGGCCGCAGAACGTTGTATGTGTTAAGTCAATCTTTGACCACAGTATACGCGGGGCCTGAACGAGGTTCTTCTAGGCGCATAGGGTCGGTTTTCGTAACCTGATGGCGGCCGCTTCTGCTGCTGTTGACAGGCGCTGACCCAGTAGCTTAGGGTAGCTCAAGGGGATCTTATAAATCAAAGGAATTGCTTCAGAGGGATCCATACGATGGCCTGATTTCATTGCATCCTCAAGCATGGCGTTGTCTATTCTCGCAGTTTCACCTTTTGCAAGCCATGCGGGAAGGTGCCCTCGTATTCTCTTGGAAACGCGCCCACTCGTACGACCAACATAACCTGCCCCACAAGAGCAAGTGAATGAGTAGATGCACATTGATGTAGTCTGAGGTGGCAGTCTATCCTTGCCTTCCTCGCGTAAAATAGGGTTAGTAGAGAGTGATATGCGAACCGTTGCTGCTTGGAAGGTTATTGAGACAGCTAGATCAAGGCGCCTTCTCAGTAGTTCACCTGCATCGTCTCCTTAGAAAGGAGCGTTGAGTAACAAACTGTCTTTTCGGCTGTCATAGTTGTGGATTTTGTGAGTCGTTAGTTAATGTTCTTTACAATGAACTTGCCTGGATACCCGTTTTCGCGAAGCAAGTCCTGGATCTTTCTAAGTTCCTCCTTGGTATTAGCTGTCAAGCAAATCATTCTAGCTTTTTTGTGCAAAACACCTGATTAGATTTTGTTCTCGTTGGAGGGGTACGAAATTAACAAACTCCGTTTATTGTCCAGACTATATTTTCTTCCGATAGACGCTCCTTTAGATGCTACCGGCAGGCCTCCTGTTTAGAGCGACAACAAGAAAGGAAGCGAACCGGTTGAATCCATCGCCACCGTGAATGTGATCGGCGGACGTGCTCGATTTATAGCATTTAAGAGGGCAGCAACGTCGTTCTCTATGGTGGCAATTTAAAAGACATCATTAACGTAGAGAGTGTCATGTTTAAGCTTTCCGATCTAATCATTTAGTTTAAATCTTGCCAGCTTGTCCATGAAGACGTCGGCTAAGCGAGGTTCAAGAGGTGAGCCCATAGCAACGTCGTTTATTTATTTATGGAGCTGGTTGTCAAAATGGAACTGCACAATTAATGTGCACCCTAGTAATAATTCCTTCAATGTGTGCGTCGGATTTCCTATTTCTTGCTGATGTTACCAATAAATTAGGTGACCGAGACTTTTGTAAAAAGTGAGGCGACGTCTAGCGAGAACATCATCATGCACTTAAGGCTGAGATCTTTAATGTCGTCAATGAATTAAAAAGTATCTCGATAGCTGCGTGTTGCCAGCTGATGGTGTATGGGCTTGCGTTTCTCTGTTATCCACTTCATTATCGCATGATACGCAAAGTTCCGCATATTTATAATCGGACCAACTGTTAAGCCTTCCTTATGGATCTTAGGTAAACCATATATTCAAAGGATATGTGTGCCGACTGGCTAAATTGTGATCGAGGTCACGGTCACTTATGTAACCTTCTGTGTGGAGGCTTCGTAAGTGGTCAGCCAATTTTGCCTCTGTATCATCCGTGCAATCCTTTTCTTTGTCTTCGTTTCTGATTTTCTTCTGATCAGGTAATATAGACTGTATCTTCACTACGTAGTCCGGTCTGTACCCCGTTCCCATATAACCGAAAGGAACATTAGCTTGCCACATTGGCCTCAGATTATAAATATGGTATGTTTTGTCTGGCTTTTTTGTAATCTGGCCTTCAATTTGTTGTCGTAGGCGGAATCCAAAAGAAGCCATCCATGACTCTCACACTTACGTCAAATGTATTATGCAGTACTGGGAAAAACACCTATCAATACGTGGGGAATCATTTTGTATCATGAGGATCTGCTGGATAATTGCTTAACTAATGCTATCTGGGCGGTCAGCATGCTATTTGAGATTTTTTGAATTTCTTATTTTATTATAGGCCGGACGCGCAAATTCATTCAGATAGAAATGGATTCACGACTGAAGAACAGGTTTCTTAAGTCTCTTTCCTTGAGATGTTGGCTGATCAGAAGCACACATCCTTATTCTCGCTAGGGTCAACCAACCCGACCTTGACTACTTAATTTTTCGTAAGTTTAGCAAATTGATCTGATCTGCGGCACCAATGACTGCAGACGTCTAATTCCTGGCTTATATTTGCACGGTAATGTAGTGTCCTTACTCCCACCGCTTGCTCCAACACTATGCCTCTCGCAAATGTCTGCATGTGTGGTCCGTGCCTGTATGGCATTCGTCCACCGGCTTTTTAACTGACCAATCAGACTCAAAGCCTTGTCCGGCATTACGTGGCTTAAGACGATTTGACGCATACCCTGACACACACTAGGGACGACACTCACCCGACGCTCGGCGTTCCCCCATCCGCTGCTTATTCCCTCCAACTCATTTTCTACTTTTTCAGCACAGAATAAATAATCCTCCCAACTGGCTTCTATCTAGTCTTTCTATTCGGGGTCAAACGCGAAGATCGTGGTATCCAGTGCCTCACTCTCTTTTTAAGCTCCTGTAGCAATCTAATATTACCACTTATGTTGTTAGTTATATCGAAAATTATTTGTAGATTCACAGTGTATTATTCTGTAAAAAAAATTAAGCAACCTGCATTGCTGTCAGAATTGAATGATTTCACGCATTTCAGTAGTCTACAGGATTGCTTCGCAAGAATGTTTTAAAAGACCACTGTGACTTAGAGTGTGGGATGGATGTTCTGGGTGTAGATTGTATGTTGAATGCAGGCTTGCAGGCCTCTGCAGACAAAATCGCAAATAATCATTCACCCGCAATTTCCAGAGCAGTGCGGATCTGTGCAGGATTTAAGCGATCATCTTTAAGTAGGAGATGAGATGTAGAATGTTGACTTATTATCTGATGTGTTTACAAACAGATACTATAGAAATGCCAAACAAGCGAAAAACCATTCATCTGAAGATGACAAATTGGCATAACCCAAATAGAACTTTAAACGAGGAAATTGGATGAAGGCAACTATCAAAATTTTGGCGGCGTGATATGACTCAAATACTGGCAGCGGGGAAAATTCCTAATTATAACCAAGGCCCTGAAAACGTCAGACATAATGGCCCGCATGCGAACTGTCAGTTTAATCCCATTTCGGTCATGCTATTCGTCCCGCTTTCCATGACGCATAATGGAATCCATAAATTCTTTCCCAGTAAATCGAAGGCCTTCAAAAGATTGTCAAAGTAATTACTCACGTTGCCACCAGATTCCTATCAGTGTCGCTCATATTTCATAGTTGTATCGACATATTGGATTATGCCATTTGTATTCATTGCAAAAATCATGAAGCTAAGCTCGGGTTGGTTGACCTCTGCGGAAGTAAAAATGAGTGCTTCTGCTCCGCCAACACCTCCAAGAAATTGACTTGTGAGACGAGTTCTTCAGTCGTGAAATCAATTCTATCTAAATTAGTTTGTGCTTCACGCCGACTGCAAACTACGGAATTAAAAATTTCCAATCAGCCTACTGATTGCCGAGACAGTATTCTCTAAGCAATTCATTTAGCACATTTACATGAATAAAAACCAATCGTACCTTACTAGTGGGTGCATTTTCCAGTATTGAATAACACATGTAGACTTGAGAAGTCGTGGATTCAATTCTTTCTGAAAAAAACCTAGTCTAGACAATACACGGAGTTTGTTAATTTCGTACCACTCCAACAAGAACAAAATCTAGTCAGGCGTTTTGCACAGAAAGCTCGAATGATTTGCTTGACAGCTAATACCAAGGAGAAACTTAGAAAAATCCAGGACTTGCTTCGTGAAAACGGGTATCCTGGCGAGTTCATTGCAAAGAACACTACCTAACGACTCGCAAAATCCCCCACCATGACAGCCGAAAAGAAAGTTTGTTACTCAAAGTTCCTTTCCAATAAGACGATGCGGGTGAACTGCTGAGAAGGCGCCTTGATCTAGCTGTCTCAATAACCTTCCTAGCAGCAACGGTTCGCATATCACTCTCTACTTACCCTATTTAACGCGGAGAACGCAAGGATAGATTGCCGCCTCAAATCAATTCAATGTCTTCTGCATCATGTCTATTCCACCTACATTCTGAAAATTGTCCTCAATCAATTCAGCCGTTCTAATTTCTACTAGTATTACATCAGCTTTGCTTCTTTAGATGACCGCTTTTGCATTTTTTAGCATTTCTATAATATCTGTTTGTATACTCATCAAACATTATATCAATGTTCCACATCTTCTGATTTTCTGCTTAGGTCAGATCGCTTTAATCCTTCACAGATCCGCACTGCACTCGAAATTGCGGGTGAATTGATATTTGTGATTTTTTCTGCAGAGGCCCGCAAGCCTGCGTTCAACGTAGAATTCACAACAACCACACCCATCCGATACATCAAGTCTCAGTGCTCTTTTGAAAAAGGCATGCAAAGCAACCATGCTTAATCGTTTACTTCTGACAACAATGCAGGTTGCTTATACATCTTTTACTGGAAAATACATTGTGAATCTAAAAAACGTTTTTCGATATAATTAAAAACATAATTGGTAATATTATATATGTTACAAGAGCTTAGAGAGAGTGTGAGTCCCTGGATACTAAGGATGTTATGTTTGATACCTAATGGAATGAGTAGATGGAGGCCAGTTGAGAGGGTTGTTTATTCTGTGCTGAAGTAATGCAAATAGAATTTAAAACGGCGGAATTTATTTGAAGAAATTTTACAAATGTTGGTTGCCTTGATATGACGCAAACACTGACAGCGGGAGCTGTGCTTGATTTAAGCAATCAGCTTTAAGAAGGAGATCAAGAGATGTGGAATATTGATATATTGTCTGATGGATGTACAAACGAATTCTATGGAAATGCCAAAAAGCAATATAAACGGTCATTTGAGAAAACACAACTTATATAACAAAAGAAGAAATTAAAACGGCGGATTTGGTTGGAGACGGCTTTTAAATTTTTGGCGGTGTTGATATAACGTAAAAGACTGACAGCGGGAAAAGTCCAAATTATAACCAAGGCTCTGAACACGTCAGATAGAATGGCCTGCGTGCAAGCTGTCAGTTTTATCTCATTTCTGTCATGCGCTTCGTTCCGCTTTCCATGACGTATGCCGGAATCCACCAATTCTTTCCGA